GGGTAGCCAAGCAAAAACCTGAACAGAAGAAAGCCTGACCCATTTCCTCTTCTAAACTCCACCCGTGAAAGAACTCAAGGAATTTTAAAGCCCCTTTTCCTAAAATACTGAACAAAAATGATCCGAGCCAAGAACAGCACTGGATGGACCTACGGCTGAGTAAGTCTGTGGAGACACCAGCGTGGGCAGCGGAGAGGAAAAATCTATCATGGAATTTGCACGAAAAGAAGAGAGGGACCATCACGTTCTCACCAGGGGTACCCCATATGCTCAGCCAGACACAGCGCTGGCTCATTACAAGGTATTTAAGTGTTTCGTTAGGTTTGATTAGGTTTTAAGGAGGGCGATGGGGAGAGAGAATGGGGTGGCCCTCTGTTTTACCAGAAGGTTTTATCGCATAGCACCCAGAATCTGTGAAATCAATGGTATAAAAATAATGTAAAAGAAGTATCAATCAATCTGCTTTGTTTCCAGCCTGCCCATGCTCCCTAACAATCTTGTCATTTGCAAAGTCCTCCAGCATTAGTTTCCAAAGGAAGGGCTTTTTTATCCCATGTGCACACATGGTGGAAAATATTGCATTTCCCCTTCTTTCTCAAATTTGCACCCCACAATCTCCAACCGAACCAATTAAACGCTTTTCCAATTCCTACCATCCTTTCTAAACCTGCCTGCAAGTAGCTGTGGCTTTCTTTTGTCGCTCGCTTTTGCTGCTACAGAAAGTGACACCCCCCTCCCCGCATGCATATGTCCATTGTGCATTGGTTCAGCTCTTCCCACTTACCCAGACACAGACTCCCCCAATCTGCTCAGACTTTCCTCAACCAGGTAAGATCCTGCACGGAATCTAGAAATGAGGATCCCCAAGGATGGCACAACCTCTCTTTGATCCAACACAAGTATCAGGAGAAAAGCAAAGATGGGGGGATTACTGCAGTCAATTTAGCTGATGTTCAGTCCTCCCAAGGATTGCAAGTGGGGAAGCCAAAGATTAAAAGAATAAAAAAGGGCAGCAGGCAGTTGTGAGTAGAGGGGACTTTTAAACACCATACCTGGATCATGACCTTGGGACATAAATAGGGCATGAAAAATGCAGTTCCCCCCACCCCCTCCTAACCCCTCTCCAGAGTCTATTATTTCTTCCATGGGAAACATCTCAACGCAAAGTTCTCGCTCGAGGCACAAATGACCAGACTCTGATTATTCCACTTTGGACACATTATACAAAGACCCAGCTCTCTGGAGAAGGCTCTGATGCTGGGAAAGGTGGAAGGAAAGAGAAGAAGAGGATGACCAGCAGCAAGGGGGATGGACTCAGTTACAGTGGTGATGAGTGCACTATTGGGAGACTTGGAAGAACAGGTTAGGGATAGATTGTCATGGAGAAAATTTATCTATGTGGTCACTAAGAGGTGACACTGACTTCATGACCGCCAATCAATCAATCCATCCATCAGGCAGAAACAGAGGAAGAGGATGACTAGCAGCAAGATGGATGGATTTAGTTTCATTGGCAACGGGTGCACTGTTGGAGGACCTGAAGGACCAGGTTGAGGACAGATCGTCATGGAGGAAATCTATGTGATCGCTAAGTGTCAACAACAACTTGATGGCCCATAATCAATCAATCAATGGGAAACATCCAGTTCTTCTCAACAAAGGAGAAAGGAACCACAGACGTGTGCTGAAGTGATGGGAAAGAGGGCTACAGACAGATACAGGCACAGGATTCACTTTACCACTTTACCACTCTACCCTTTTCCATCTTCACAGACCAGCTGGCTTCCTCCACGTTCATCAACCCGCATACTGCCTTCTATGAAGTTATTCCAGTTCTGCGCATTCACTGCATGCTGGGAGACATCCAACATCTGATTGTTGCTTGGCCTCCAGGGTTAAAAGGCAGGTCAAAAGGTTATTTGCCCAAACTTTTTTTCTCCCTGTGTGGCCCTCTGTTATAACACAGAGGCTACGGAACAGAGCAGGGTTAGAAAAAATAAATAACCAAAACCTCACCAAGAAATTACACCAATCTAATGGTCCAAGCTAACTAATTCTGATCACTGGATATGGTTGCTATTATTATTATTATTTTATATCCTGCTTTTATTTTGCACAACTCAAGGTGGATCCATGATGCTCCTGTCTCCTACTTTCCCGACAACAACACCCCTGTGAGGTGGGTTGGGCTGAGAGAGAGGGCCAGGCTTAAAGTCACCCAGCTGGTTTCCATGCCCATGGGAAGACCAGCCCTTCCAGGCTCCCAGTTTCCAGTCTAGCATTTTCACCGCTACATGAAACCATCTCTCTTCATATTTCGACCTCCTTTAATTCAGCACAGGCAAAGAAAGGGACTTTGTGAAATCAAAAGGCTGGAAACTCAGGGGAAGCCAATGAAAGAGGTAGGTGTACATGCTTGCAAAAAACAGAGGAGCCAAGCCCAGCCATTCTGCTCACCTGCCAAGAAAATCCTCAAAGATTAAAAATACCACTAAAAAAAACCAGAATTAAGTTCCAAACCACTGCTCACCCATGCTGAACTCCCCCATAGTTCACTTTTTTCTCCCTGCCCTTGCCTTAACATTTTGAAGAAAGAAAGAA